AGGTGTAATTTGTAGCATCATTAAGTGCAGAGAAAAAAAGAAGAGCCAAAGAAGCCTGAACCAATGCTAGGAAATCACAATGAGAGAACAAACTAGTATAAATTCAATTCAGAATCTGGCTGGGTGATTTTTAGTGCACAACATAAGAGGCATTCACACCGCAAGCCTTTTCTCCAAAGCTCAGTTGTGTGTTGCTGTTCCTAGAAGTTTCACAACTTTCTCTGGCTCAACTATTGGAGCTTCCATTTAGAAATAGAAGCAATCTGTCTTTCGAAATAAAGGAATCTATGAGCCATAGCAAGAGGGACGGGAGATGCTTCAACCCCAAGATAATAAGGAATATGTGTGCAGTTGTTTTCTTTCTGCGTATGTTTGTTCACAGACGAAAAGACTCTCCAATTTACCCTCCTGCACTGAAATGCTGCACTAAAGGCTTTGGAGCAGTTTCATAGCATTCATTTTGGCTGTAACTGCAGTTAATCTATATACCACATACCAAGAGCAGCCCTTTCCCATAGCACAGGACTTCTGGGAGCTGACATCTAACAATAACTGAAGGACTGCACAATTGACACCTCTGACCAAGGAAATATCAAGAGGGATCAAGCCAAGGAAGAAAGTAGGAGCAGCAGCGATGAGGAACAATATGCGTATTTATCCACTACCTGATTATTACAGCAGTTTGATGCCATTTTAATGCCATGAATCAATCCTACTGACTCCTTGAATGGGTAGTTTGTTATGGGAATTAAAATTGTGTCCTGAACTACTACACTAGTCCCTCTCTAAATCAGGAAAAGTTACTATTCACAAAGACTGTATTTCTTCCCTGTTTAGGCAACATTCAAAATCAACCCATGATAATATTCAAATAAAACACAGTAAAATTATTTTAATTTAATCAGATCAAATATACAAGGAAATTCTCGGAGTATGTGTGCATTGCTGCTTCCACAAATCCATGTTCTTATAGAGAGTAATTGCAATGCTGGCAAAACAGCCCTACTTTTGTCATACTTCTCAGGGTATTTTATCTTGCTTGTCTTCCACAGTGACAAACATAATAAAAAATGAGGATTTGCTATTATTATAAGCACTTTCTCAGAAAATATTAAGAGCTGCGTGAGTAGCACATCTGCATTCAGGCACAAGTTTTAAAACTGGGAATGGGATTATAAAAGATTCAATGACCACAAATCCAAATAATTGTTTCTTTGCCATTCTAAATACTACTGCCTTATACCACCTCTTAGGTCTACATTGCTTCATGCATATCAGAATTTAAAATCTTTATTTTCTAAATCAGACCAGGTATTTTTCTCATCCATGGGTGCCAGCTCTTTTCTTTTATAATTTTCTACTCGTAACCCTCTGTGCACACACTTCAATCATCAAAATATTTGTTTCTCCCCTTTTCTTTTTAAAAATGCAATGAGAAGTGACATAGCTCTACTTCTTTTTGCCCCTTTGGAAGAAAAAGAGTTATAACAACTGCATTGCAGAGACGGTGGGTTCTGGAATGCTTTTTCAGGGGTTGTTAAGGGCTTCTTATGTATTTGAATGCATTTCAGGGGGCAATTTTCAAGCAAAACTCTTTTCTTTTAGAATTTTCTACTCCCAACCCCACACAGAGAGAAAAATTACATTGGGAGCAGAGGGTTTGGAAAGCTATTAGGGCCAGGTGATGCACTATTCTGGGACCATATTTTTTCCACTACTGATCTAATCATACATTTGTGGCAGTAACTAACCAGATGTTATGGTAGTATCCTCTGTCAAGAATGAATAAGCAAAATAGATGGGAGAATGAGTGGAAGGAGCGATAGATATATTTTTGTTTTTCTGTAATTCATGCCCCAAAAATCTGGCAAGCTGAATTTAAAATCTATATAAATAAAAATATAATGTTCATTTGTGGGATTAGCATAACTCAAAAACCACTGGACAAATTGATACCAAATTGGACACAATACACCTACCAGGCCAATGAGTGACCAACCCTCATGAAAACACTGAAAAACTCAGCAGAAGAGACTTAAAAAGCCAAAAAACAAAATTACATTACAATGCATGTGCAAAACCACATATATAAATGCGAACACATATATACACACAAAAAACACATATACACAGTGTTGTAGTTCAGCGTGATAGTAGCGTTGCTACTAGTGGTAGAAGGGAGAAGAGGGCTGCGCAGGTGTTGGAGGAGGAGCAGCAGCAAAAGTGGATTAGAGAGATAATCATGGCACCGACTGATTCCGAAACCTTCGAGGGTTTCTCTGACTGTGAAATGGGGGATGGGGAGGAAAGCAGGGGAGTTAAGCGGGCTACTTGCGAACAAGAATCTGATGAGGAGATTCAAAGGAAGCGTATCCATGATATAATTAGCGCTCCTATGGAGGATGAAGACTTTATGGGTTTTGAAGGGAGTGATGGGACTGAGAGTGACATGGGGGAGGAGGATGATTTTGACTGGACCCGTGTACAGGAGATTAGGGATATCTGTACCCAGCCTACATCCACTGATAACTTTGAAGGGTTTACAGAAGAGTGGCAATCGGGGAGCACTTGGCAAGATCTAAGTCTTGACAGACTCTGGCAAAGGTGGAGGGATGGTGGTCTGGGTTCAGCTGCAGGGAATGGGGCAGCTGAGAGTGATGATGAAAGGGTGGGGTGCAGCTCATCTTCAGAGGAGGAACTTTAAGATATAAGTGGGGTTTGTTTCAATGGGTCTTTGCAGAAGTGTCTCTTTTGGGGTTCCTGCCACAATTCTCGAGCTTGAGTCCTTGGACTACAGATTCCTGTGTTCCTGTGTTTTCCTTTTGTGATTCCATGAACAATGACTTCTACTCTACCGCATTTGACTCCGGACCGTTTTGGACAATGCTTTTTTGCCTCTTGGACTAATTCATCTTGCTTGCATAGTGCTTCGACTTCAGACTGTTTTTGGACTCTGTTTTTGCCTTTACCTAACGTGCTTTTGAACGTTCTTTGTATTTTGTAAGTTTTAAGCCGATTGCTTCATATTTCAGTTATACACCAGGATAATCCGGGTTATATTTAAATTGCTTATTTAACCTTGCTTTTGATACCAACTCTTTGGTTGAACTTGAGGCACTGAAGTAAGTGTTTCAAAGACTCTTTTGTGAACAATAAAACTGTGTTTGGACCTTGCATCCTGTGTTTGGCTTTACTGAGGCTTCTGGGTCTTGACACACAGAGTGGGCCACAGCAACGCATGACAGGGGATGGCTAGTCCATAATAAAATGTAAGTATCACAAATCAAATATAATCTTACACTTACATTTACAGAAAATAATTGTGAGCTTATGCTTAATTATCTGGAGGTAATCTCTAACGAAGTCAGTGGCCAGATTTCAAGGGATAGTCCCAATTAGAGCAGACTCATTAACTCAATTGACTATATGGAAATACTGGGTTCATCTACACCGGGTAAGGTACACTGATGTAAATCTTCCTTTGGAGCAATCTCATCTTCAACACTTACGTGCTGAGTCCAGGGCCATTGTCCAGATGTCATAAATACTTTTTAAACATTAAAAAGTTTCTTTTATTCCATTTTCAGTGAGACAGGTTGCATTAGGCACTTTACAGAGAAAGAAAGTATATGCCCAGATTATATAGCTACATGTTTTACACAAACAAAGGGGATATTACATTTTAAACAGCTTTCACTCACAAATATATATATATATTCACTCCCCATGCATACATTACCATCCCTGTTTCTGCTCCTGGAGAAGAGACCCACACGTGGGGCTAATCACATTCCCTGCAAATCTGCCATTTTGCTGATATTTCTCCATCCCTTGGAGATGGAGAAATATTTCTCCATCCCTTGGAGAAAGAGGTGGGTGTACAGACTCTGCATTCCTGCAGGCTTCTATACTTTTCCTTGACGTAAGGAACCATTGTTTGACTTACTAAACTTAAAGAGTAATTGTTTTTGGTTATGTAAGCATGTTGTTTTCAGCCACAGTTTAACAGGTTAGCCATTTTTATCAGGAACTTTTTAATCAAAGTTCAGCAGTTCTTGACTTCTTCACCTCCTTTTGCAGTTTTCAGGCTTCTTTGTCAGAATTGTGTCTTCAGCCTTATTTAAGCCTCAATCATACTCCAATCATTCAATCCACACATCACATAGATGGCCTGAAAACATATTCACCTCACTTAGCTTTCACTTCTTCCATATTGCTGGCCCATCTAGATGGAGGTCTGAGGTTTTCTAGGAGTGGCAGCAGTAATATGAATTCAATCCCTCCCCATTCCCTGTGCCTATCAACATAGGTGATGTGTCTACATTGTATAATAAATAGTTCGGCATCACTATAACTGCCATTGCGCAATACTGTGGAATCCTGGGAGTTGTAGTTCTGGGTCTTTAGCTTTCCCTGCCAATAATGCTGGCTCTTCACTAAACTACAATTCCCATGATTCCATATCATTGAGATTTCTAAAAACTTCTGCTTCAGGAGGAGTCACCTTTTCTAAAAAGTAACATACAGAGTCACTTTAAGAGACTTTTTATAGCTGGTGCTCTTCTCCAGCACTGTTTTGAATTAAACTAAAGACAATACTTCCAATCCACATACCCCTCCCCCCTGGACACTGCCATAGCATTTCAAGTATATGTGTAAAAAAAGGATCATTGCCTTTGAACCAATGTTGCTCTTGAAGCATTTTTCTGAGTTGTAACAATGCATATCTTTTGTAAGTTATCATTTGATGGAATAAAGGGTCAGATTCTATGCTGCCACATTCTCATTAATTTTAGAAAGGTTGCGTCTGTACAAGAACAAGAGCAGAATCTCAAATGTGATTTCCATTCTTTCGCTTTTAAGAGCTCAGCACTTTGCTGAATTTTTTTTAATGGCTAACAATTCCAGTGCATATCACTCAGCATTTGATTTAACAGCATTTATATATCAGAAAGAAACTTGCAAAAAAATTGAATGCATATGATCTATTTCTTGAATAGGTTCAGAACATGTCCCAGTCCATTGAAGTTTTAAACCTACGGACTCAGAGGGATTTCCAATATGTTTTAAGGATGGAAACACAAATGAAAGGGCTGAAGGCCAAGTTCCGGCAAATTGAAGATGATCGGAAGACCTTAATGACTAAGCATTTCCAAGTAGGTTCTTACTTGTCTTTATCCCTCCCTTCTTTTCCTTAATGATCACTTTGAATGATTGCCAGAAGTGATTTGCTTGTGAGAAACAATGTGCAGCTATCCAAAGCTGTTGACTTGAAATGCTCATCAATATGTGCATAATGAACCTTGTTGGTTTTTTTTTTTTTTACTGTGATCATATTTCTCACACCACAGTTTCCTTGGGATGGAAAGTGAACATCAATTACTGGGATGATAGAAAAATGTCTTGCAAAACAGGCTGTTATTTTTGCTCCATCTACAATAGTGTTCCCATTAGGAGATTACTACAAAGCCAAGCTTTGGACTTTGGATAAATGAAGCACCCGGGAGAATTAATAAGCAAAAGTACAAGACAGGATGTCCTTTTAAACTTTAATAACATTTTGTACTATCCAATGCAAGGTTTATAACAGAGGTAGGCAAAGTGTTGCCTGTCGAGCTGCACATGATCCATTTTGTGACCATAGAAGCCTCTCAAATGTGCCCCAAACCTGGCCAACTCTACCATTTTTAAAATCAATTTTGGTATGCTTTTTGAGGGCATTTCCCTCCTAAATTTGTGAGTAATAGCCACAACACATGATGGTACACAATAATACCCACACTTCACTGCACAGCCACCACAGAACTATCTACAAATTCTCCAATTTTCTTCTTCACTCCCTTTCAAAATAATGACAAAGGGTGACACAATGTCACTTCCACTTCGTGTTGTGAAAGAGGAAAATGCAAGTTTTTCAGTTTCGTAGAGGCAGTCCACAGAAGGGAAAATTGTCACCCATAGAGTTTCCAACCCTGGTTTATAAGAAAAGAGGTTCAATCTCCTTTAATTAGTAGCATTGAGGCTTGCTGTAATAGGTTCAATACATAACACCTTCTTTGTTCTTCAGCTCACAATGTTCTGCTTGAACCCAAGGATAATTCACACCTCCCAATTCTTTCTGCAACGTTTAGATTGAGCAATGTCCCACTGCCTGTCACCACAACTAAATCATCATCCGTCTCTGGCTATGACCCAAGGGGTTCTGTTATAACATAAACCTTTCCTGCTTCCTATGCCAAAATTCAATCAGACACATAGACTTTCCCAGTCAGACACCTGCTGGAGCGGGTGGTCGCCTCCCAGCTCCAGGGCTTTTTGGATGACATCAGCTACCTAGATCA